TTTTTAAAATGTATTAAAACTAAACAGCCTGCAGTATTTTTACGGTCTTTGTTTTGCAGTTGAAGTCAAGGTTTATCAAATACTGTCTAATGTTACAACTAATCAGGATTCACTTTAATTTTCCATTTTATTGAAGAACTGGGTATAAAACCGTTTTAGATGCTAAGCTGGGCAGAGGTTCACCTGTCGGCGAAGAGAAAAAAATCTGTTTGGAAACTATGATTGCTGTGTTCTCTGTGTTAAACAGCCTACAGCTCAAAAGCCTGCCTCTCTGATGATATGGGGATGCATTTGTCCTTCTTAGTGCTCTGGGGTCTCTCTGGAGTTTTTGAGAAGTGTTGTTGAGTATAAAATGTTTTTTTTTTCCAGACTAAAGCTTGTATGTTAATTCTTTTCATGAACTGAAAGCATTTTCAGTTTTTTGATGGGCTTWGTTTTCTAGTTTTTTTTTTTAATATTTCACTTTATGGAAACTGTAGAGAACTATAGAGCCTGTGGAGGAAAATCACCAAAGCACAGATTAGGGGAATACCAGCTCCATATACCATCCAGCAGGGAATTCCTCAGCAGATACTGTCTGTTTACACTCGACCGTTTGAAAGTCACGCCGTCAACTCCCCTTTGATTCCACGGGCCGGCCACTTCATTTGGTTAAAGGATTAGAGCTCTAAGCCTTTTAGTGGTAAGCTGGTTACGTAAAAAATCTAACATTGGTTTTCATAGACAGAAAAACCCTCGCACCTCCCTCAGGGATTTTCCTCTCTTGAACCCAGAGTCTCCTCCCCTGTCATCCCCCCGGTTTGGCACATCAGCAGCCATGTGGATTTCCCAGAGCTGGATCTGGGGCTTGTCTGCAGGATTTGTGCAGCTCCTTCCTGCAGCTCTCTGTCGACCGTAAAGACACCGAGCGGTTATGGATCCTGTCTGTTGTCGTTACAGAGRTCCCCGAGACGTGTGTTGGAATAAAAGGCGGGATTGAAGGCAAGGAAACGACTCGGGAGTGAAGACGACACAGGTGAGGAGAGCTGCCGTCGGTTTGTTCGTCACTTTTCTGCTCACAGAGCAAAGATAAAGCAGTGCCTGACTCACCATGACTAAAAACTAACATTTGCTTAAATCTTTGGAAAGCAAACTTTTTATCTTATGAAAGTGTTTTTTAAAGGAGACATATGCGTTTAAATCTTTCTTTTTTTCACATTTAAATCCTGCAGTTGGGGTCTATATAAAGAAGAACTGCTCCTTATTGTAACTCCACAAGCCCCTTTTTACCTCTTTTCTSAGGTGTMTTTCAGARCAYCTCATTTTGAGGCTTTCTCTTTAAATCCAAACGAGGCGCTTTAGACTCCGCCCCTCTCCAGCTTCCAGAATGGTCCGTTCTCGTTTGTTAGAGAGGTTTACGGCTGTATAGCTGCGCAGAAACTTGATTTACAAATGAATAAAAAGATGTGAGCAAGGGAAGACTTGTCCATCCAGCCTGACATGTTGGAGCCAGAGTCTGACCCAGAACCAGAGTCTGACCCAGAACCAGAGTCTGACCCAGAACCAGAGAGTGACCCAGAACCAGAGTCTGACCCAGAACCAGAGTCTGACCTAGAACCAGAGGAGAATAGTTGATAAGCCTCATTGGGCAGTTCCTTCACAAATACTGTGATGTAATAGTTCAGAAAACAGAATAGAAAAAAATGAACGTGTTGAAAAACACAACCACGCAGAATATAAAGATATCTACGCAGCACCAGGAGAAACTAAATTCAAATTTTCTGCTTCGTTGAGGCTTCAGCTGCACATTAAAATGTATTTAAGGGCTAAAGAAATGGATTTTGCATGATATGTCCCCTTAAAAAAACATTTCTGTGACATACTTTCTCTGTGGTTTGGGTAAATAAGATCCACTAAGTTTTCTTTTTGTATCTTGTTGCCAAAAATAGTTGCAGCATGACTTCATTATTGGACTTTCTTGTCCTGTGACTTGATGGTTGTAATGTTTATTTATGATTTGTGCTGCTTCTGTTCATGCTGCTGCTCTATTGAACCTTTTGTCGTTTGAGTTGGATTCTCAGCTGGTAGATACATTGGCTCTTTTAGAAGAGTTTTTTTTTTAAAGAGGCTGTTATTTCTGCAGCAGATAGAATTAGATCCAGGTCAAAATAAAAGTAGAAGTCACATTCAGCTGTTTGTTTTTTTCCCTCCTGCTGCCCGAGCGCTTTGGTTCTGTTGCTTTTCAAATCAAAGTAAGTTGTGTCTGTGGACGGGGGAAGCGAGCYCGGACGCCGCACCGACACAACCCGAGCCCCCTGACCTCTCCGCTGGCAGCCGGACGGAGCCGAGCCCCTCCCTGTCCATCTGTCGCGCCCATCGGAGGAATCAACTTTCCCGCTTTGGCTCCCAGACACAGACAGCATATGTCCATCTGGGCGCACGTTACTGTTTGCACATACAAATATGCACACATGTAATTAAGAATAAACACAAATACGTGCCAACGTGCACACGCTGACAGTCACAGATGAGTGTAAGCAGCGTGCAGGCGGACATGCTCGGGTCTGGAGTTAACCTCTGCGGATGCAGGAAGCCTGAATTGCTTTTTATTTGCTGGCAGTGTGACTCGCCACCTGGTTGGGTAATCCCAGCACATGCATGTAGACATGAGGCGGTGTTTCAACTCAGCGGGTAGAGAAACGCTACGAGAAGAGACACTCAGTGACATTTAAACGGATCCTCCAGCCGATCACGTCTCCTTTTCCGTTAACGTTTAAAACTGTCTTTTTTTTWAAATTCTCAATAATCAATGAACTAACTCAATCTCCTCTCTCGAGACTCTCRGATGTCTAGACTGAAAGGAGTTTCYGCAGTTTAGTTTACTTATCAAAGAAGGTAGGGAATAATTTAGACAGTTGCCAGGCTTGAAACCTTCCCGTCCCTCTCTGCTGTGCTTRATCAGATCTGCTCTTCAGCCTGCTGTTTGTAACAATCACATTTATGAATGGAGAAAAATATATGCTTTTAGTCAAGTTACTTACCTAACTTATTGAGTCGTAGTCAAGCTTTCTAAAATATATTTTTATAATTGAAAAACATTAGGGCTGCAACTAACGATTATTTTAATAATCGACTAATCGGTTGATTATTTATTTTCGATTAATCGATTAATCGATTAATCGGCCAAATCATTAAAACGCATAATTACATAAATATGAGTAGATATAAATTAAGTTAACTCCTTAAGGATGCAAGTTATTGATAATGAATTAATCTGAAGTTGATTTATCTTATAGATTGATTAACAATTAATTAATAAGCAGCCATTTAAAAAAAAAACTGGAGTTTTCTCTTGAATCAAGAGGGTCTTCCCATAAAATGAAGGATTTTTTAATAATCTCCTGAATTAAAAAACAGAAGCACATAATACATATTTTAACAATTTATTTTGCCAGCTGTATTAAATACTGACTGAAAAAAAATGTGTATTTCTCCTACATGAAACATAACAGAAATTTAACAGGTTGCTGAATGAGGAAAATAGATTAAAATAATAAAATACGATTTTTAGATGTAAAACTATTATTAATTTATTATAATTAGAATTTATTTATATTTAACATTTATTTTTTCTCTAATTCTTTACTTTTTGTTTCATTCTTGTTGGTTCTGTTTGACTAAAACATTGTTTGACCCTAGGGCTGCCACAAACGATTATTTTTATAATCTATTAATCACCGATTATTTTTTGATTAGTCGACTAATCAGATCATATGTTACTTGAATATAAAACATAGAGCTTATCGTGCCAGAATGCAGCTGCTATTATATAACCATGGTTAGATTTTAGCTATATGCTAACTAAAAATAATTGCTGTGGAAGGTAAGTTCTGCTSTGCAGATATTACACAGGTTTCTCTTTCATTTTCTTAAAATGATCCCACACTTTTGAGCTCTGTTGTCAGGTAGCCATGATACCAGAGCCTGTCTGTATAATGTCTTGTGACGTCCACGGCCTACCCCAGTTACCACTACTGTGCATGTGTGTCAACGACAGAAAGGCAGATGTGGCAGTGGAAGGTGTCAAAGCAGTTTGGAGAGAAAAACAAAGTAAAGAACATAACAAAAAATAAAACGATTAATCGATTATTAAATTAGCCATAGATTATTTTAATAATTGATTAAGCCCTAATAAACATCCTCAGTAACCTCTCTCGAGGCTCTCTCATGTCTAACAGTTGAAGAAGGTAGGCATGATTTAGAATATTTCCAGGAGGCTAAATGACATTTCCAGGAATTGGAGACGTTTGACTCCAGGTTAAGTTGCTGTAATAAATATGTAAATGGTAAATGTAGGTATTATATATCACTTTTCTATCCAACCTGGATACTCAGAGCTTTACAGTACAGTCTGCTSTCTCTACCTACCACACACCACTTTACTACATCTGTCTACAAAGCTAATCTAGATTGATCATTTTATATATTTATAAGATTAATTCATGTCATTGAAAACAAAATCAAATCTATGTGCCATAGAAGAAATAAAATACAAATCAGAAATAAAATTAAGAAAAAAGAGAAATATKATCTACGGTAATATCTGCCCCTATTTTCCTAAGAATAAATTCAAATTATAGTAATTTACAAACAAACAGATACATCAAATATTTCTCGAGCAACAAGTCGTATAGATACACCTGACTTTATGCTATTTCATATTTGTTTAACAAAACAACTTTTATCATTTTCTTAAACAACCGTTGATCCAGCTTTTTTAACATCACTCTCCAGATTATTCCATAATCTTATTCCTTGGATTGAAGTAGACCGCTCCTTCAAACTGGTTCTAAATTTAGGTTTCACAAACATCTGTCTCCTTGAGATTGTAATAACGTTCTCTCTTAACAAAATTTAATTGGTTTTTTAAAGGTAATATGTTTTTGTGCGCCTTATACATAAAATGTAAAATATTATAATCAACCAACTCATAGAATTTCAATATGTTTAACTTTGTGGTAAGCCTGTCACGATAAGCAATAAATCAATTAATTGCACTGTAACTTAAAATGAGGTGGATAATTTTCATTTGCCTGCTTGCTTGTTTTTTCATGTCTCTTTTTTTTTTTTTACTTTTTAGCGTAGAGAGGAGTGAACTCTGGTGTCAGATATTTTCTTGGTTCATGCTCTCTAACCTCTGTAGCATGAGAGCCCTGTGAACAGGTATTTAGCTAGAGGAGCATCTTTCTCGCCTTCTTTAAGGAGACCCTCAGGGCACTGAACCGAGCCTACGGTTTTTGCAATATGTAAATTTTATAAGCTTCCTTAAACTTTGTAGTTGTTCTCCCAATCTCCGGTCCAGGTCAGTTTGTAAGTTTTTTGTTTTGTTTTGTTTTTTACAAATGTAAATTTCTTAAACTTCTGTACGGTTCGTTAGTGGGGAGCAAGGGGGTGATCATTATATTAGTCTCCAAACAATGGGCCTCATGCACGAACCGTTCGTATAAACAGATTTGTTCTTAAGTTGTGCGTACGAGTGATTTTGGAAAACTTTGAAATGACAGATTCTCTTTTCTAGATCTCTGAGAGCAGGACTTCAGTCTCCAAACTTGTGAAGTTCTGTTTACTTTGTACATTTGAATGAATGAACACTTCCTGATATGTGGGGGAGGAAGTGTGGCCTTATATGGTGTTTTTGGGGTGGTAGTTATGCTAATTTCCTCTCCTCGTGCACGAGCACCTGGATACGAACAGGTGGCATTCGTCCCGTTTACGCTCATTTACACACTTTTCCTCAAGATAGAAGCATTTGCTGAATCTGACGTGACGTTTTTGTTCGAGCCCTTCWTACGAAAAAAGTAAGAYAAATTTCGGATAAAAATACGAAAATGTCCTTGCATGAGGCCCAYTATTWTCGTTTATCATGATAATTTGTGAGACAATTTATCATCCAGCAAAATTRGTTATTCTGACTGGTCTATTATGGTGATTAATRAGAATTCTTTGCACTTCAGAATTTTCTTCTGCAGTGCAAATGCTTTTCAAAACCTGATTTTATTGTTGTGGAGGATTTAATCTGTCAGACTACAGCATGTTTTCAGGGAAATACCACAATATTGTTTTTTTTATGAATCTCTGTGGTTTCTTAGATGACAGCTTTCTCTTTCCCTGACAGGAAGTCGGTTTTTACTTCCCTTAGCGAAGCGTAAAACGTTCCTGTTTTGCAGATTTCTGGTATTTCATTRATTTATGTTGTGGAGTTAATTTGAATTAAAGGTGGGGGTCTGTTTGGAGTCAGCAGGAGGTGCTCCACCGGAGCTATGGGAGGTTTGGTTGCTGCTCCGTTTCTGTTTTAACTGCTGCTGTTTGATGGACGAGGGCAGCTTTTCTTATCTATAAACTCATACTTTTTTGTTTGTGCTTCATGTTATGTATATAATTAGATGATCATTTTAGCACATTGCAGCAGCACACGTGCTGTGCTGTATTTGAAACAGAACTCATTGTGCAACACTAAGCTCCACGTCAGTGACTTCAGCCCTGTTTGCTTTTTTTCATGTGTCGGCCCAAAGTTCCATCAGATCGTTGGCCTGTTTTCCCGTTTCACAACTTTAACTGTAGAGTTTTATTGCGGGGCTCACGTTGACGTAGATGTTGGCAGTTCAGGGCCTTTGTATTCCTCTGTGCTGTGTTTCTGCGGATCAGGATGCCATTGTTTATACAGTATGTAGGTCAAGAATCAAGGCAACTTTAAACATAGCAGTAACTGAAAATGATTGCTCTACCATGCTTTATTGACGTACAGAATGATAGTTGTATCATTTATACAGTAAAAATAGTTTTATTTAAATCACAATGTACAGTTTTGAGGTTTATTTTGGTGTTAATGATTGATTTTCCATTAAGAGAGAACACTGGGTTGTGTTTAGGACTKAGAAACAATGATTATTTAATACTGGAACCATTATTTTTTCAATTAAATAACATTTGAATCCATCCAACTGAGAAGCTAGCCCAAGCATCATTTTGATATTCCTGTATTGAAAACAGAATTAAAGTGCCTGTGACATCAATTTTTTAATAATAAAAATGAATGTATTTTTGGAAAGATAACATTGACAAAATATTGTAAAAAAGATTTCATGCCGCTGAAATGAACAGTTGTTGAGATATTTGCTTGTGAAGAAACAGGAAGTGATGTCAAAGGGGAATGTCTGAATGTAAACTGAGCGTTGCTAAAATGGCTAACAACAAAGGCTGTAGTGAAGAATCGGCTGTTTCTCTAGAATATTTTAATCACTATCAAAGAGAGATGAGAAAAAGTCACTTCAAATAACGTTTCAATAAACAAAAACCAGGGAGTTTTCTTTCTCAAAGAGTTCCCCTTTGATGTCACTTCCTGTTTCACTTTAGCTGAGCAAAATTCAAAAGAAAAGAAGCCAGTTATGTGAAATTACAGGTCAAATCCTGTGTACTATGCCAAGTTTTTTAAATATAAATATATTTTCTTTAACTTTTTGTATTTCATGGATATGCATGTCACAGGCACCTGACTCTTTCTAAAGCAAAACCATTTTCTCAAACACTTAAAACGCCAGTTTTTTAAAGACCAGCCCAGCCTGTGGATTTTATTTTATTTGTATTTAATCGCTGTTTATGTAATTCCTGATGCGTTACATGTATAATGGTGTTTCTCAGCGGTTCTGTCTCCAGATTCGGCCCCAGCAGCCGGTCTGACTGGATTCCATGTTTTGACATTTTAACACCGCTGGGTAATTGAACAGTTTGAACAACATGTACTGTTCAGACCCCCGGGCTATAAAACTTACCTTGCGTGTCATCCAAGACAGCGGGATGTTTGTTTAATGGTTTGTCATTTGTTTTGCAGACTCAGGTAGTAGTTTTTGAACACCGTGTTCCTCCCAGCTTCAGAACAGTAAAGAACTAAACAAAGGTGAAAAAAAAAAGATCCTAAATGCTTTGGCTTTTTCCAGGGGTYAGATCGTAAAACAAAAATAAATTAGCAGGTCTTGACTTTGCTGTAGTTGTCGACACCTAATAACAATCAACATTTTTCCAAACGTGGCATCTTTATTGTCTACAAGTGCTTCAACAAAGGCGTGAATTCTTTACCTACATTTTGTCCCACTTTTCTCTTCGTGTGCCCCCCCCCCCCCACCTGCCTAATCTTCCCAAAGCCAGTGTCGGTTGGGACCCTGAACAGGTGCAGCGGCGACGTGAACGTACAGCTGGCCCCGCGTTACAGAGTGTCTGCGGTGAACACTGTAGCTGCAAGAAAACAGGTTCAAACAGGTACTGAACCACTTTGGACTCGTGCCTGACGCTGCCAGGCTGTGTTTGTTCTGCCTGTCAGGGCTCACCTATAGGGTGCCGCAGATAAAGGCGGCACGTATGGCTCAAACGAGAACGTCAGAGAGCTGCTGCTACAGCCGAGGACAATAACAGATCATCCTGAGGGTTTATAAGTTTAACGAGTGACTCGCCACCGAGTAAAAATATCTCTTTTAGCTGGAAGAGGATTTCACTCGGGTCCATGTTGTTCAGTACAGAGTGTCTGGTAAAAATATATGTGATGATTATAACTGAGAAATATGAGAGGCCTCAGGTTTAAAGGTGRCCTCCTTCTTTTGGCTGCTTCCTTTGGGACCTCCGTTGCCCCCTATCCCATCATCCTCCTCTACCCCAACCCTCTGCACGTCCTCTTTCCCTGTTTCTTTTCCTCCTTCCTGCAGCTTTATGTTGAACATCCTTTATCCACTGTCCCTGTTCTGCACAGGATCCAACTAGACCTGTCACAAAAAAAAAAAATGCTGGACGATTAATTGCCTCAGAAATTATTGTGATAAACGATAATATTGTTTGGAGACCATTTTAAACTAATATATTGATTATCCTCCCCATCCCACACACAACACCCACACATGAGCGGGTATTTCCTATATTGCGGGACAGGTTTTTTGGCAGACACACCTACATGTGGGGACCTAAAGCTACTTATGTAAGTAAGTAAAGTTTTTATTTATAAAGCACCTTTCACAGAAATAAATTCACAAGGTGCTATACATTCAGGGAAAGTGGGGAGGATGCAGTTAAAGGCACAGTGTGTAGGATTTGTTGTTTTCAGCGACATCTAGTG